CCCTACGGTCGCCTAACTCTACCACTAGTCCTCCCCCCCCCCCCCCCCCCCCCCCCCCCACGTATTTCCCGTAAGGGTCTTTTTTGCCTTGCTTCCCGCGAGAAATGACGAATTCATGCGCGTCCCCTCCCCACACCCACCAGGGCTCAGCATTATCGAGTCGGGATAATCGACACGGCCTGACCAGGCAGTTCCTTGTTTGTGAACCCTAGGGTATAATTGAGCCCCCTGTGGTGATGCCCGATGGATGGCACGCGGGTCGGCCAAGACGGGAACTGGGATAAAGAAAGTGTCTGAAAAACAAAAACAAAAGAGAACCAAAACAGCAACAACAAGGAGAGGCCATGTCCAGGGTCTCGGACCTGAGGGTCACCTGTCCTGACATCTCGTCCCGCTCATGGTCCCCCAGCAGAAACATGACAACCACCTCCCCTGTTTGTCGACTTCAGCCGAATGCTACGGCCCAGTAAATAGTAACATGCTGCTAGCATCCCGTTCTGGGACGTGTTCTGTCTTTTCTTCGCAATTCCCTATTCTAGCCTGCTCCGGATCCACTCGCACCACTGATCGATGTCCTCGCACACCTGTAGCACCTGCCCTAGATCCTGGGGTTGCATCTGCCTGCCGCCGCCTTCCCGCTCCAGTCCCTTCCCTGGCATGGGCAGCACGTTCTCCGAGACGACGTGCACCATGCCGTTGAGCTGCACGTCTAGTACGACCGTGGCCGTCGCCCCACGGAAAGGGAACACGACTTGCAGCCGAGGCACCGGGTGCACCGTGAGCGTGACATCGATAGGTAGCGCAGGGCCTGCTGCTCCCCCTCCTCCTCCTCCTCCTCCTCCTCCTGAAGCATCGCCTCCAGAGATCGCTCCATCTGTAGAACCGTGCTGCCCTTGTACCTTGTCGCTATCATGCTGATCAATGCCCGCTGCTGCTGGCGCTGCCACTGGGTCCTTGGGGCCCGCCAAAAACGCCGCAAAGTCGGCCCTGGTAGTTGTCGTAGCAAGATTTTGCGTTTGTGTCATCTGTCTAGGCGCACCCGCCGTGGCATTCAAGCCTGCCATCCTCCCCGACGCTGACCCATGGAGCCCTGTTGCTGTGGGTGCTGCTGCGCCGCTCTCGGTATCGCCGTCGCCTGCCGGCGCTGCCGATGCCGCTCCGACGGGACCGAAGCTCCTCTCAAGCAGCGTGGATAGGAACGCATACTGCCTCAGGCGCGGTAGCATCTCGACCAGCTGACTTGGGTGCGAGAACGGTACAGATGATAGCGTCCGGCCGTACACGGGCTTGTAGATAAAGAGCGAGTTTCTGTGCAGCGCCTTTGTTGGCTCCGCCGCCGCCGTCGCACCCGTGACACCTCTCGGTAGTGGGGGATATACGGCAACCTCTTTTAGGCGCGTTATGCTGCGTGGCTCTGTCGGGTCGTGTTGGCTGTTTTCCGGCACGGGGAACATGAGACTGTCATAAGTCGAATGCAGGAACTCGCTCAGTGGCGCCTGTGCGATTTGCTGTATGTGCTCCCAGTCCTGTAGTGTCATGACCACAGGCGGGTCAAACTCGGCCGAGAAGACTACCGCTGGTAGCCGTCCCGAGTTATCCACGTCCATCCCGTCAGTCTTTTGTTGCTGTTGGTCTCCTCCCTCGCCCGGAATCACAGTGTTGGGCGGGTCCTGCCAGTCAAATAGTTGGTTCGCCGTCATCAGGAGGTGATCCTCGCCGACCATTGACGCATGCTTCTCGATCGCCGGCGAGAGCCACGCATCCGAAATGCGTGCTGGCTGATAGCCCATGGCGATGAGTGGCGCACAGCCAACCCATATACTCCATGCTCGCTCCGTCGCCTCCGTGTTTTCGCGCAGCTCAGTGCTGTCGCTGGCGGGCGGGGGGACGAGGTGCTGCTCCCTCCAATAGTCCAGCGTGAGGCCAACTTTACCGCGTTTGTGCATGCCGGGCTGACCATTGCGGGAGCAGAGCGCCGTCGTCAGGAGGCGCTCCTCGCCGCGGCCGGCCATGGCTGGATCGGCGCGCAGCTTGGACATATCCCACTGGTGCAAGCGCTCGAGACAGCCGTATATATTCGCAATCGCCTCGTGGCAGTTAAATCCCGGGATTACGCTCAGCTTGTCCAGCACCGCCAGCCGCTCGAGGTTGACAGCAAACCTGTTGAGCTTCTTGGTCAGTGGGCTCTCGTTGGGGCCGAGTTTGAGGTCGTCGAGTAGGATCCGGCCGGCCTGCTCCACGTGCCGCGAGACGACGTCGGATGAGTCCGGAAACGAGAGCGTGACCTTTTCGACGATGTTGTTTGCCATGACAATGTCGATGGACAATGCTGACCCTGCTATGATGAGAGTTTTCGACTTGTCGCTGCCTCCGCCCTCCTCCCACAGGAACTCGAGCCCAACACTCCTCACCAGACGCTCCAGTCCCGCGTCACTCACCCGGCCCTTGCTCTCCTATTTCCGTTGGCAGTGCCATGCGTCAACAATAGGTCATATACACCTTTGAAACACCTCGCCGGTGGCGTTTACACCACAAGAGTCCCGTGCAACAAGCCGGTTGCTTACCTTGAGTATGCTCAATATCCGATGAAGGCGCCTAATCTTTTCGTCGTCGTCGTCCCGCGTAGCCATGCCCCCCAGGCCATCCAAACCACCCACAACCCCAACATTATCCAGGCTGCCGATGTCGAGCCCGTTTCCTATTCCGAGCGCGCCTAGAGCGGCGGCCGTCGGGCTGTCGAACGTGACGGGGGCATTGCTGTTGCTCGGGTGGCCCATCAGCGTAGTGCTCGTGGCCGGCGATCTCCTGACGTGCTGCGGTGACGATTTGGGCCCGTGGGGCGAGAAGGCGGCGGAAAAGGGCGTCGAAACGGGCGGGGTGGCCGCTACACCGTGTTGCGTTCCCGATGGTGTCCTGCCCTGCTGCGAGGGCGCATGCTTCATGGGCGTCGGCGTCGCCATGTTTGCGGGGCGGCAGGCGTGGAGGAAGGGTCGGCTACCTGGCAAGCGCCATGTAAGACCGCCTGACCGGGAAACAACGCGGTGCGATGAGGGCACGCAGTTGCGCTCGGGTTGGGACGCTCGAGTTGGAACTCTGTTGGATCGTGTTCGTTCGGGATCGAGACTCGCCGTCTCTCAATTGGACTATATTTCGACGGGGTTGACCGGATGTAGCTGCACGCGGATTACTCGAAGGGCGGCGATACACTCGCGTTAGTAATGCTGGCTATGGAAACGGCAGGGAGGGCTGTGAGTAGCCCGTCGCGTCTCATCGGCTTGACGTTGAGATGGGGGTTGGGTGCGCGAAGTTCACTATGGTGGGGTTGGGAGTGGATCCCTGTCCAACATCCGAAAGCGGAGGCACGCTCATGACAGCCATGACGTCTGGATGCCCTCTAGCTTCGACACGGTATCAAACAACAGCTACGGCTGGGACTGGGATATTTAAACTGCGAGACAGGTCTGGGGGCATCTTGTATTCTTTCTGTCCTTAGAGATAGCAATACATAGGGCTTTGGATTTAAATGGGTATATAGATCATTAAATACATAACTAGACGTGTAAGTGTTGAGAATATATTACTGTTTGTTTTTACCAATTTTGCCTACCTCGACAACAACTTCTATTAACGTGATTCAGTTAGATAGAAAGGGGTATAGACACCAAGAAACAACGAGAAAAAAGACGATACAGTCAATTATATAGTATACGCCTTGCCATGCAATTATACCGAGTGCTCCTGGAAATCTCTCGATATGAACGTCAAAATGCAGTAAATATCATGGCATAAAAAATGCCAAAGCGACAAGCTGGAAAATCAAATACGCTCATGCATCGAGCCAATTTTGATTATATATCACAACAACTGATTTACTGAAACCTAACATTCTGTCCCATCAGGGTTTTATAAACGTTATCAAGAGCCTTCCTCTTCCTCGTCCGCTCCACAGCGGCCTCCTCAGACTCCTCGGGGACCCCAAACTCGTCCCCCTCAGGACCCTCAAGTTCGGGCGCCCAAACCCGGATCTGGCCGTCGGAGTGTCCAGAGTACACACCGCCGGCCGCGTTACGGCCCCCGACCACATGCCCGGACGACGACCCAAACCCCCCCGCACCCCTCCACGCCAAGCTGGTGACGCGGTTCTTGGCGGCCTGCTGCTGCTGCGCGCTGGCGCCGCCGCCAGCCACCCTCAGTCGCCGGATGATGGTGCCCTCGTGGAGGTCGAGCGCCAACACCTCGCTGCCGTTTGGCCAAAACAGAACGTCGCGCCTCGAGGGGCCCGACCCGGGCCCCGGACCGGCCAGGCCCGTCGGCGACACGAACATGTCGACGCTCATCAGCCCGCCGTTGCGGATCGACGGCCCGAAGTTGACGAGCGTGTTTGCGCCGGTCGTAGCATCCCAAACGCGCACGCGCCGGTCGTGGCCCGCGCTCACGACGAAGTCGCCGTCGTCAGTCCAGGCCAGACCGTTGACGGGGCCCGCGTGCGCCTTGGCCGAGGCGCGGATGCCGCGCGACGACAACGTCGCGTCCGGGGCAGAGGCGACGCGGCCGCCGCCGCCGGCGCGCCGCAGGATACCCAGGCCGTCCTCGTGGTCTAGCAGGGCGACGAGGGCGTTGGCGCGGCGCACATCCCAGACGCGGATAGTGCCGTCGGCGGCGCCGCTGGCTAGCACGTGCTCGCGCGCGGGCGACCAGGCGGCCGAGAGCACGGCGCCCGCAGCCGCGCCGATCTGGCCCGCGGCCATGAGGCTCTGGACGGCGGCACCGGAGCGTAGGTCGACGAGGCGCACGGCCGGGTGCTGCGTAGCGCAGGCGACGAGGAGGTGCGAGGCGATGGGCGACGTCGCGTGGGTGTACACCTTTGCGCCGAGGTCGAACGAGCCCGAGAGCTGGGCCGGCTCCGTGGCCCAGACCTTGAGGGTCTGGTCGTACGACGACGATAGGAAGGCGTCGGCGTCGAACGGGAAGAAGGACAGGTGCGTAACGCCGAAGCGGTGGTGCTGGTGCCTGTGTGCGTCCCTGTCGGCGCCGACCGCCGAGCGGCCGAGCTGGCCGGCGCCGGTCTCCCGGGCGATCTGGGCCGTCGGGCGGTAAGTGTGCGGTCTGTGGGGGTTTCGACACTGCTCCAGGTCCCAGAGGCGGATGGTGCCGTCAGAGCCGCCCGAGGCCAGGACGCGGCCGTCGAAGCGCTCTAAAGCTAGGGCGTTCACACCCGACTTGTGGGCCCAGATGGAGCGGCGTTCATCCTCGTCGGCGAGCCGGGATGGCCCAGCAGCGCCGCTGGCATACAGAGTGGCGCTTTGTTCGCCGCCATCGAAACGATGATGGGGCGCGGCGCGAAAGGAGTGTAATAGCCTGATTGTGTGAAGCCTCGCGAATGTCCTTCGGTCGACATCTCCAACCAACCTCTCAAACAGGAGATTGTTCATGCATCTGCCCTTTGCGAAGACTACCCACGAGGGCAGACTTCGGCCGCAAAGGGTTAAGGGTTTCTAGTATAGTCTGATAGTCTGGGCTCTCATCAAAAGTGGTGTCTAAATGGAGATGAGATTTGGTGACGGTTGCGCTGTGTCGCGTCTGCTATCGCGCAAGCGGGAGCCTAGCCGCAGGCAGTAATTGTGGGGTCGTGGTTCACTTCGCCTCTGAACCGCGACGTCATCGCCGCAGAAGGGGAAGGTTGTGAGCGACGCGTGAGACGTGCGCAAAATATTGGGCAATTCCAGAGCAATAAATATCAGTAGACACTCTCCACGATCAATCTACGGTTATACAATGGCCTGGCCGTAAAAGTGTGTTGCAATCACCCCTCAGACACGATGTGATGCTGCAATGAGTCGCTGGGAACCGCCTGAATTTTTCAAACCGTCGAGATAACCGGACAATTTTCTCATCTATCCCAACAACTGCCTAGCTCCACGGAAATGGGAGATGCAACGCGCGATCGGCATAGCGGCCAGCAAATAAGAGAATCGTATGTATCGGAGACAGCCTTGGATACGGCAGAAGAACCGAGGCAGAAGCGACACGCGAACGTCTACGATGCGGTGGCTGGTAAGTAGTCGCTATGTATATCAGAGGAAAATCAATTGCGTGAGAGCTGACGAGACCAAGGGCGAGTAACCACCACTGGGAGCCTGGGTGCATCGTCGGGGGTGCGGTCGGTCGATGGCATCTACCGTCTACGGGATGCGACGCTCGCGCCCGAAGACGTACTGTTCCAGCGCATCGACGCCCCCCAGCGCTACGCGGAGAAGGATATCTACTTCTCCCGTGAGGCCGCCGCCGTGACCGAGAGTGACAGCCGCCTCCTTCCAGACAGCGACCTGCTCAAAGCCGTGCACTCATACGCGGCCCACCTCTTTGAGAAGGTTGGGAGTCATCGTGGAGTCCACGGTGGCGGTGGTCACGGCGAGGAGGGGGAGGGGGAGGTTAGGGACCCCGGCTGCTTTTTCGGGTTGCGGCACGTGGACGAGCGCAGCATGGACGAGACGGCGCTCATCGCGTTCGGCATCCTGCTCGAGGAGACCGGGCGCGAGGTGCTGGGCAGGCGGGGGGACCTGGTCTTCACGGAGGGCCTGGACGAGGAGGGACCAGCCCAGACGGGTCGCGTGGCTGACGGGGATGGACGGCAGCCGCACACGAGGGAGGTGTCGGTGGGTCCTAGCGACGGGGAGACTTTCTGGAGGAAGGGCTACAAGAGGAGGAAGAGAAACGACGGGGGGTTTGGCGAGGGGTGAGGGCCGAGGTCTTGGTCTCAGGAGAGCGAGGAGCGGTGGAGTGGCAGGCTGCTGCTTGGCATGGCGATCAGGCTGCGCGTAGAGTGGCAGCGTATGCAGGTGGCGTGGGTGAGGCCTTTAGTTGCGTCTTGCTTGCTTCACGGGACCCAATGGGCTGGGTCGCCTGGGCTGGGAGCACGGGCCCCGTTCACCGAAGCAGCCTGGCGTGCTGCAAATGATGCTTGGCCGTCCACCGAGCTGCCGGCAGAGTGGGGCCAAACGGACCAAAACGGGGAAGGTAGTGGATCCGAGGCAGTTGGTGCCCCGAGCGTTCGGCCTCCGTGGCCAAGATCCGGTGTTATCCGAGCACGGAGCGGAATCAAACGGTCGAGTCGATGGCGTCAGTCAGTCTCCAGGTTGGCCGCGCCTTTCCGTTCTTGCTTTTGTTTCCCCCCCCTCATACTCTTGGGGCTCCATTAAAGAGTAGGCCGACAGCCAGTCAACCAACAGTCAAATCGCCCATTTTTGTCGCTGAGAATATAATGCCTCGTCGCCAGCCCCAGCACCAGCACCAGCACAGGTATTCTTGGCTTGCGGACGAATTCGGGTAAAATGACAATCCTTGCAGAGCCAGACAAGGCCACAGCTGCCTCCACCACCTACAGCGAATACAAATACGGCACTCTTAGCGACCTGCAGACTCTGGGCATTTGGGATTTTCGACCCAGCCAAGGCGAGACAGCCAATGGTAGTCCTGCTGTCAAGTACTGGGTCGTGTAAGCCCTTCCAAATCCCCCACCCTTCTGCTTTTTTTCCCTTTTCTGTCTCCTCCTGACAATCCCCGACCACAAGATTCATCCACGGCGGTGCCTGGCGAGACCCCAGAGTGACCCTACACGCCATCGAGCCGACCGTGGCCCAGCTCGTGGCGTCGCCGACACACAGCGCGCGCATCGCCGGCGTCGCCTCCATCGACTACCGCCTCACCGCACACCCGGACTTCCCCCAGGACCCGGCCACCACCCCACCCGGCCAGCTGCGCAATGCCCGCCACCCGGACCACGTGCGGGACGTGGCCGCCGCCATGACCCTGCTGGCCACCCTGCGCCCGATCGCCGGGCCCAGCACCCGATACCTGCTCGCCGGCCATAGCGCTGGCGCCACCCTGGCCCTGCAGCTGCTCATGGGCTCCCGCGCCGGCGTCGTCGACGACGTCGCGGTCGCGCAGCCGCCGCCGTTCCCCGCCCCCGCCGCCATCGTCGGGTACGAGGGCCTCTACGACCTGCGCGGCATCTGCGCCCGTAAGGGGTACGGGTTCCTGTTCGCCCCGCCCTTTGGCGACGACGAGGACGCCTGGGACCGCGCGAGCCCCGCCCTGCACCGCGGCCTCGCCGCCGCCTGGGACGCCTGGGCCGCCGCCACCACCGACGCCGGCCTGGGGCGGAGGCGGCTCGTCGTCGTCGCGCAGTCGACCGAGGACGAACTCGTCGACATGGACGAGGCCCTCGCTATGGAGCGCGCGCTGCGCGACGACGGCGTGCCCCACATGCTGATCGCCGACCTCAAAGGTAAGCACAGCGAGGTGCTGGGGGCGGGCACCGACATTGTGAGGGTGCTGGGTCAGACTGTCGATGCGCTCGAGGCGTAGATACGAGCGAGCCGTGCTAGATGCTATCAAATGGTAGGTGTATGGAGCAGATAGAATCGAGAGATGCCTGCTTCCCTGCCTCTGTTTGTTTGACTGCTTTCCAAGTGGTGTTGATATTATCTAATTACTGCCTATGCCGTATTGATAGGTTGGCTTGTTGTGTGTGGGCATGTAACCAAGTCACCCGCCGCCCCGTTGCTCGTCTCGTCGTCGCGGGATCCTGCCCCTTTCCCTTTCCGCATACACGCCCCTTTATACACTAATCCCAAAACCCGATCCCGATCGCTTCATCAATAATCCCAAAACCATGCTCAAAATCCGTTCCAGCTCTTGTAGCCCAATCCGTATAACACCCTTGAACTCCATGCTTGCTTTTTATCATCCCGTCTTTATAAAGACACCCATCCGTCATTACCACCGATTTGTTTTTTCTGTCCCATTACCGCCGCCGACGCATATTACACGTCAAGTGCCTCGACCTTCTTCTCCACAGGAGTGCTGCTGGGCTTCGTCTTGGACCCCCACGCGATAAGTCCACCGACGACGGCCAGCGAACCGGCCCAGATCTGGGCGGGCAGGTACCAGCGGCCGCCGCTGGCATCGACGATGGCCGCGGCCAGGGGCGGGCCGATGAGGGTCGCGAGGCCCGCAAAGGCGCACAGCATGCCGAAGCGCATGCCGACCCGGCTCGGATCCGGCGTCAGCGCCACCAGGACGGCGGGCCAGATGCCCTGCGCCGCGCCGTTGGCGAGACCGAACACGGCGGCGAAGACGTACATGCCAGCGGGTCCCGTCGCCGCCGCCCAGCAGAGGACCGAGATGCCCGTGATCACGGCCGAGATGACGAACACGCCCGCCGGACCGAGGCGCTTGAATCGGCACGCCACGAAGCCCGCCAGGGGCCGGGTCGGGATGCCGAGGGCCGAGTTGATCATGACAAGGGCCACCGACTGCGTCGGTGCCATGCCCGCCACGACCTCTCCGATTATGTTGATCTGTTGGTGATGGCGTCGTGTGAGTACGTCTATCTTCAAGCTCAACCAGACCACCATAAAATGAAGGGCCTTGTCTTACGTAGAAGAAAGCAAAGTATAGTGCGACGAAAAAGAGAAATGACGAGACGACGAAGCAGACGAAAGGGACCTCCCTGAGCGCTCCGATGTCGATGAGCGGCTCGGAGCCCACCTGCTTCTGCTTCCTCTCCTCCACCAGGCGCTGGTGTCGGCGCGGGCGGAGAAGGGCGAGGGCACAGAGGCAAAAGGTTAGGGCCACGAATCCGGCGACCCTCATCGCCCAGGCGAAGCCGATGTGCGGGATCAGATGCTGCACCACCGCGGGGAACACTATGCTTCCTATGCTGGTGCCCACAGTGGCCGTGGTCACGGCAAGACTGCAAGGAGAAGATGCTATGTTAGACACTTTTCCGCAGCTGGTCGCCGGATACCCCCATGTGATGCTGATTTGGTGTACGAAGGATAGGGCAAGCACATGTGGGCGGTGTGTGTCGCGGGTTTTACTCACGATCGCTTCGACTCGTCAAAATGCGAGTTGATGGTGGCCAGCGTCGGTGGCGTCAGCATGCCCAGGCCCAAACCCGTGCAGAGGCCCTGGGACAGGAAGATCTGCCACCACACGCCCTGCGCCAGGCTGGCCGTGAAGGTGCCGAGGGCGACGAGGACGGTGCCGGCGGCCACGGTCGACAGGATGTAGCCCGCGTCGGAGAGCCGGCCCGAGACGACACAGAGCAAATAAGCCAGGAAGCCTTGGACCGCGCCGACCCAGGCCACCTGCGACGCCGGCAGCCCCTGCGCCGAGACGTAGAAGGCCTGGAAGACGCCAAACGTGGCCGGGAAGCCCCAGCCGACGGCGTTGAGGAGCACGCCGGCCACCACCTGCGACCACGCCGCCCAGCCGCCGTTGGGCGGGGGGTCGTCGGCGGCCAGCGTGGCCGACGAGGAGGCGAACGAGGCATAGGAGATGGGGGAGATGGGGACTATTGTGGCCGACGACGGCGACGAGAGCTTGCCGGCGTCGTCGTGGGCGTGGATGCTAGGAGGGTAGGATGGTGTTGGGGTGACGTCCGAGTCCGAGTCCGAGATGGCTCTAACCTCGACGATCACGCCGGCGTCCTTCTTCTTCTCCACGTCTGCGGCCTCGGCCGTCTTGGTGAAGCTGTCGCCCATGTTGGGGGGATGGACTGGGGCTTGGTGATGCGCCCGAGCAGAAGGAACCGCGGGTGAGGATGCGGGATCAAAAAGAAGATCAAAGAAGAAGGCTCGAGAGGGGAGAGTCAAGATGATGAAGAAGATGATGGTTCCTGATAGGCAACCGGGCCTTTCGAAACTGGCGGGAGCGCATCTCTCTTTTATCCTTCGGCCATCGCCTTCCTCCCAAAACCCCCTGATACTTTGTCTGGTGCTGAACTTTTTTTTTTTCTCGTCGTTGCTGCCACCACCCCCTCGGTGTTGCCATCTTCACACCCCCTGAGCCCGTTCTCGGCCCACGCTAGGTGTATACCGGCAGCGTGTTTCGAGGCCAGCAAGAGTCCCGACTTTTTTCGTTCCCCCACATTTGTTTTTTTCCAGGCCCAGCTGGGCCAGACCAGGGGTGAGGCAGTGCGCGCCGGCCAACGGATGACTATTGCATTTTCCGCTTCGTACCCTCCATCCCTTTCGGCCTCCACATCGCCCCATGATGGCTTCACAGGGAAGGAGCTGGCGAGAAAATAGCGGTGCTGCCGGAGCGGATCTTTCTGGGGCGGCTGGCACTTTCACGCCTACCTGCCTGTCTGCGCGCGCCCTTTCCCTCCCTCTCTCACATCCTCCTTCCCTTTTCATCTTTTTTTTCTTCTCTCTCCCAGCCGGCTGAAACTTTTCCATCCTGCCCGGGCAGGCCTGCTCTCCACAACCACCTAGCCTACCGCGACAAGGTAGGTTTAGGTGGGCAGGCGCCGCTAGACATAAATCTAGCTCACCGGCTGCCGTGCTCCATTCGCAAATTTCCGGCGGGCTGTCGCGCCTGGGCTAGGGGAGACGGGCGTTCTGAATCCAGTTCGTTCGCTCCCCTGGGCCTTGGCCGCTACTCCTGCTCCTCTCCCACCCTCCCGTACCGATCGCGCAATTCCTAACGCAGGTGATGGGCACACCGACTCCACGACACGGAAGTGGTGGGAGGGGAGGGTGACAGGAAGGTGGCGGGAGACCATTATCCGCTCGTTCGTGGCATGCGCGTACACGTCTTTCCTCATAGCTCCTGCTACCATCTTTTCTGACGGCGTAGAATGCAGAGTGCGAAAGAAGAAGGAAACGAGGGCTGGCGTGCGGCACCAGCCGATGGTGACAAAGCGGGCGCTTCTCGGTGGCAGCACAAGAGGTCACGAGAGTCGAAAAAAAAAAAAGAAAAAAAAGGGGAGCAAACCATCGGCAGGCAGGGGTGGCGAGTGTGTGCCTCACCGGTCCGCCTGCCGCCGCCGTCGCAACAACGAAATGGAGCAAAAGAGAATATGGGAAGAGTGAGTGAGAGGAAGAAAAAAAAAGGAGCCTTCCCTGAAAATAGAAACGCGTGTGCTGTTCCCAGCTGTGTTCTCCACATGGACCAGCTGGGGCCCGAGCGCCAGGCCGAAGCCTTCCTTTCCTTGGACCTTGCCAGTCCACACCCAAAAGGGTCTCTTTCCCCGAAAAAAAAATTGATCTCGGTCTCCTCTCCCCGTGTCCGCCCCCTCTCCAATCCCGATTCCTTCCAACACGCCTCGTTGATCACTCCTTCTGGCCCGGTCTGGACTTTCTCGGCCTTTGGCGCGCGGACACTACGGCAGGTTATGGGGCTAACGCCCTCCACTCGCCGGCAGGGGGGGCGTGGCTGTTTGGGAAGACCAAATAGGAGCCGCCCGGCCGACACGGGCAAAGCAAGACAGTCCATGATATGCCCGATATCGCGAGGGGGGTGTACAGTAGCCGGAAGCATCATCTAGTTGTAAGGTACCTACAGCTACCAGGTAGAGCTCGCAGCCCAACCCAAAAACCACACCTAACCGGCACCCTTCCCCCCACCGGTCTGCACCAGGGGTGCTGAATTCGAGTCCGTGCTCCATCTGTCTCTCCTTCTCCCCCTGCTACCCGCCAAGGCATGCTGTGCCTGTGTCGCGGGCAGCGCGAATGCCGAATGGGAGGAAATCCTGGAGGCAGGGGTGTGTGTGGGAAGCGCAAAGCCGACAGGAGAAGGCGTGATGGCGCGAAGACCGGAATTTCGGTTTTGGGCATCGCCGCATCGCCTAAAACCCCACATGCACATCAAGTTCGAATCTCGATGGACGCTAAGAAAAAAAAAAGAGGGAAAGGTTCGTAACGGACGTAGGAAGGGAAGCTAGGCTGCATGTCAGAATAGGAGGGCAACCAGAATTGTGTGTAGTTAGTCACCTACGCGCCACACAACTTACGAGCAGGACGATATGGCGAGTTAAGTTTACGTTGCTGGTGTTGGTTGGTTTGCCACATGATAGATATAGGCGTGTACGCGTACGCCCGTCGAAACACATGAGCCTCGTATATTGTTTTCTGTCTTGTCGTAGCATTCCACGTGCATCTGTCACCTCCTCTCTCGTCACTGGGATACCGGGCCCGGCAAGACATTCCGTCCAGCAGACATGGGACCGAGATGCGTTGGTACTTTTCGACATTGCGCGATGGCAGGTAGTTAGTTGGTCGGCAAGCGCAAGAGAAAAAAAGGACGAGAGCCCGCAAAATCAAAAGGCGCGGTGTGCGCCTGCGTCGCACCCAACGTGCATGGCCCTCCATTCCTTCGGTCCGTCCGGGCATACCGCAGGCAGGTAGGTAGAGAGGGAGCGGCGAGCAGCCGTAGACAAATCGTCTGGCCACGCGGGATCCTCCCGCCTTCACGATGTGGATCCAAGAGGATGGCAGGGGGGGAGTGAAGGGAGGGGGCGTGCGACGGGCCCGTGTCGGTCGGTCGGCCTGTGTAGTCACAGTGGAGAAGGCCCTGGGCCTCGACCCTTCCATATGTCGCATCGGCGGCGAGAAGGAAACCTTGTGACTGATGGGAATTTGGAAGCGGGAGGGCCAAAAAGTGGGCGTGGAATTAGCTTTGCTGTCAAAAGGGAAGGGGGCGAGAGGGCATGAGTAAGTGCTGGTGGAAAGGGGAGAGAGAGTGAGAAGGAGGGAGGTTGTGGTGGTTCATGCTGTGTAGCGGCGGTCAGTGCTGGATGCTGGATGGGGTGGGTGGGCTGCGAACCGGGAGGACGAAAAAGGAAAAAGCGAGCAAAGTGCCTAATCGGTAGCGTGTGTGGGTGGTGGTGATGGTGGTGGTGGTGATGCATTGCGAATGTGACAGCCAGATCTGCCTCTCGAAGAATTAAGGTGCATCCCGTTCCGCACGCAAACGTTTTTTTTTGATATCCGGACATGTTCCAAGGTCGCATCCAAAAGGAACCGCGGGATCGAAGGAAAGGATGGAACGAATGGAAGCCGCGAATTGGCCAGCAGCCAATCATCTGGGGGCGCAGATGGACCCACCTTCCCAAGACGGATAGTAGCGAAAAAAAAACACGCACAGACATCCTGGCGCCGCCGAGAGGTGCAGGTGCCTTACTTCCTCAGGAACCAGTGCAGATTCGGTCCAATGGCCTGTCGCGCACCAAGCGAGCCAGCCAGCCTCTCGGGATGATGACGTAATTGCTTCAACGACCACTCAACGGACGACCCCTCCTTTTTTTTTGTCTATCGCAAAAAGCAGAAATCCGCGACAACTGACATCCCCCGCCCCGGATCAATCACCCTCATCGATCCAATCAAGGCGCATCGCAAAAAATGGCGTTCCGGACCAAACAAAACTACTGCGCCCAACTCCACCTTTTCCTCTCTCGTTCTTTTTGGCGGCGCACCATCGCGACCGAACAACGCACTACCCCGCCAAACCCGAAAAGGGAAGTATGCGACGCTAGGCCTGAACGGGAATAGCCGGGCGGCACTTTAAGTTGACGTGAGGCGGCGAAAGAAGCACACACACACACCCCCGCGCGCGCGCGCGCCGACAACGCTGTCGCCATTACCGTCGCCGCACAAGACGCCGTGATCGATCGTGATTGTGGTGGTATTTGACGAATTGTCACAACTTTGCCTTGTTTTTTTTTCTTAGCAGCAGTCTGTTTCAGAAAATGCGTGCCGAATGCCGCGGGGAAGACAAAACCCTCGGCCCAGTCTAATGTATTGGCGTGTCCAATCAATGCTGAACAGCAAAGCGACAAATGCTTGCTTGCTCCTCCCTTCCTCCGTCACAGAGAAGAAGCCAGAACCCCCCGGGGGGGCCAAGGTGAGTGAGGGAGGGAGGCATCGGCTCCGGTACCCATCCGGTCTGCCCCCCGTCTGTCGCATCGTGAGAAACGTGCACAACACCACGCGCGCGCACTTTCCTGTTCCTGTCTCTCCCTCCCCATATTGATGATCCTCGGGGAACCTGGAGGCCAAAGCCGGGACGGCCGGGGGGGATTGGCTAGCCACCGATAACGGACGCAGTGCGGGGGGGTGTGGGATTGATTTTCTGGGCTCGTGTCAGCGCAAACTGGCGCCGGCCAATAAATACGGGGCTTGGCGCGCGAGTGAGGGCTTGTTTCCCATTCGACTCTTGTCTGGTTTCGGTAGAGTAGGTTATGCCAAAGTCTGGGTCTGGAACCTCCATCCGGAAAAGGAAAACGGGACCTCAGGGGGAGGGAGAAAGCGAGAATGTCGGTGTGTTTGCTTGCTCATGCGCATAAGCTAGCCGCCCGGTAAGTGCTTTCCGGCATCTCTCCTTGTCATACCCACAACGAAGCACGATTTCTCCGTCGGAACCCTCATACATATACCAACAACCGGAGTGGCCTCCTTGGCGAGGTGCCCGCCGAAAAAGAAAGCGCGTATCCAAATGTCACGATAGTCATAAAAACCCGCGTGACGTCCCCTCCCGCGAACACGTATCCCGGCCTTTCCAGCCATCCGACCCAACCTCTGGCGCTTTCTGGTCGCATGCATGTTCAAATCATGTTGTTATTGTCTTCTCTCACCTCCCTGCGCGCACATGCACACTATCCCAATCTCCCAAACACGCTGCTGTCAAGCTTCAGAGGGAAACGACTAAAACAACGCACATTCACATACACACACAAAGAGAGTAGCAACAAACACACTTAAAATACGAGCCAGCTGGCACGGGAAGCAAACAAGTAGATGAAGAGATAACAGGGAAAAAATAACAGTAAAAGGAAGCAAAAAAAAACAGGGAGGAAGGACCCAAGTGACAAGTCTTCCAACCCCCCGCCGGAAACCCCTTCCTTTCTCTTCCCCCCCTTTCCCCTAAAGATATTCTTTTGCCCTCTGATCCGGGGCTTGCCTGTATCTTCCGAGAGGGAGCAAACAACGGCCTGATCCCCCAAATTCACCTCTTGTTGCCTCCCAGCCTCGTGCTCAACCAGAAACTGACGCGGCCGAGCAATCTCGCAGCTCCCCAGTGCCTGCCGAAGTCGTGTTGCCGATAAGATATTGTGTTATTTTTTTCAGTTTCGTCGGCTTGGACAGTTCCAGATCGACAATAAAAATGGTGGTGTCGCCAACCTTTCCCACTCAGCGAGTGAACCCCTTGATAGAACCCAAACTTCTTTTCGAGAAAAAAGGAAAAGAAGAAACCCGTGCAGTACAAAACAAGGCAAGCATGGACAGAGAAGAAGAAAAAGACGTGTTCGCCAGCGCCCAAGAATCCATCCCCGTGATGTGTGGTAAAAAAAAAAAAAGGAGTGGAATGATATCTGTAAGAAGTAGATATCGCCATTACATCCACTGGTAAACACAACTAACGCCTGGCTCCGAAAACAAAGCATCTCGAGAGCAAAAGCAAGAAACGGACACGGGTAAACAGGTAGAGAAACGAGCCGAGGGGGAGACCAGACTCTCGACTTTTTGATGGCTCGGCGAAGCCACGACAGCTGCCGTGGACCGCAATCCGGCGAGGAGATCCCCTTCCAATCCCTGCCGTGCTGTGGACGCGTTCCACGACGCCCAGTTCTGACACCCTCTCCTTTCTTGTGGTTTTTTTTTTCTGATGTTTTCTTGATTTGCGGAATATCATGGAAGATCCGGCTACTTCAAGACAAGTCCCACCAGCATGGTTGGCCAGAGGACATGTCTATCCAAAGAAAGGCGACGAACAGAGAAACGGCTCCGCCACGGCCGCTCACCTCTTCCGCTTCTTGTTCTTGTCCAAGGGAAGCGATGCGATTGGCGGCAGGATGGTAGATGACGAAGCGATAGGCGCAGCAGGGAGGAGGGTTTGCTGTGGGACGGGGACAACCGTGGTGGGGGCCGAGACCTCGTCCTTCTTGATGGGGACGCCCATGTGGCGACCGTACCGGCCCTTGCGCCCGTTGCCCTCGTCCTCGCTAATGCAGAGCTCGGCCGGGATGCCTGCATCCTTGCAGCGACCGCACGGCCTTTGGCGATCGCATCCCTTCTTGCTCTTGCGGCAGCGCTGGCAGCGAGGTTTGCTCGACAGATCTGGCTGGTCATCCTCACCCATGCCCGTAGGGAATACGGCGCCGCCATTGGAAGCAACCGATTGCTTGCGCGAGGGCGCCGGCAGCGAAGCGGGCGACATTGGCCCGGCGGGCATCACCGCGGGAGGCACAGCCTTCTTGGTCTTGGCCCCCGTCGAGGGCTTAGGGGCTTTGGCCGAAGTCGTCTTGATGGGCTTGGGCTTCGCGGCTGCGCCGTTGGTCCTGGGGACGTCCGGGATGAAACCATTGGCTGAGGGCTTGCTGGGCGCGCCCATAAGGCCACCCGTCACGCCGCGCGCAAAGTCGTTCTGCTCTATGCTTTCGCGAGGGCCGACAAGATGGCTCTCGGTGGTTGGGTACAGCTTCTTGCTGACGCCGGTAGCATCCAGCTTCTGTCTCCGTGCCACAGGGAGTTCGTCCTCGCTCTCACTCTCGGCGTCGCTGGTGGCTCCCGTGCTGGAGGAGGCATCAGCCCGCCCGCTAAAGGTGTCGTCCAGCGTCGAGGCCGAAGTCCTTCCGTGCGAGATGTTGGACACATCGCCCAGGCGCATCAGCTGTATTGCGACGTCCTTGTCCTCTTCTGACATGCAGCTCCCCACCGTCGGGTCCGGCGTTGGCAGTATGCCCATGGATGGGCCGATACCCATGCCCGAGGGGTAGCCAATGCTGCCGCGATTGCGACGGCTCTCAGGGCCAGGGGTGACAAAAGCGCCGGGGTGGCTGAAGCCATTGCCATTGCTCTGGGGCGACTGCAGTGGCCGCGGGTGTGTGAAGGGGTTCTGGCCGGGCTGCACAAAGGGCAGCGAGGCACGAGAGTGCTCAATGCGGCGGGCAGGAGACACGGAAGGGTTGGAGGTTGCCGCGGGCATCTGTGGGGGCGCGAAGAGAGGCAGTTCCTGGAGCAAAGAAAGCACGCGCTGTCAGCAAAACACTTATCCGACGACAAAGTGGCGCAACCCAACGTCGACGGGCTACACACCGAGCTCTCGAACTTGGCCCGCTTGCGACGGCCGCCCTCGACAATGTTCTCGACGCTAATCTCGGTTGTGCCGATCTGCTCCTTGCTCTTGCCGCACGAAGATCCTGGGGCGCCGTCGCCGCTGCTGTAGCCGTTGATGCTGTCGTTGCAGCCGTCGCCGCGATTCTTGGACGACCGAGAGCGGCCCTTCTTGGAAGCGGCGGGGTTCGTGCCGACCGATGTGCTCCGACGGCCTCGGCCGCGGTTGGGAGACGGGCTGCGCCTGCGAGAGGTCCTAGATCCCGGGCGAGACATGTGCGCATCGTATTGTTGATGCGAGGAGGGGTGTGAGCCGAAACCGTCATGGCCAAAGTACGACTGGGCGCCGACAGCCGAAGGGTGGTACGAGTGAGCGCCAAAGGAGCCAGAGGCGACAGTAGGCTCCTCGATGACCCGGACGTAAACGGTCATGTTGTTGCGAAAGTTCTCATAGCGCGCAATCAGCGTGTTGCCGCCCTCGTCCTCAAAGCTCACGCCCTTGGAGCTGGTGGGACTTGAGTACAGGCCATAGAAGTTCTTGACCGTCGTCACGATAGACTCGGTGGCATCATGGGGGAATATCTGCACACGCATGGGCAGGCGCGCGCGGTACTGCTCAGACGAGATCAACTCGAACCTGACATTCTTGGGTTCCGGCTGGGGCGATACCGACGGGCGGCCCTCGTTGGAGCCGCTGGATGCTGGAGACATATCCATGACGCTGGTGGCTCGTAGTATCACGGGGGCGTCTTGGAGCTTGCTGGCCGTCGAGTGCGCTGGATTGCGGCGCTGTGCCTCGGAAGCGCCGGCCTCGTCTGTGTATGGGGGAGAGTATGAGCAGGACTCGGCAGCCGAGATCAGGCTCAGGAATTCCATGAACGGCTAGTAGCCCTCGAGGGTGCGTTGCATGGATGAGCGGCGAGCCGGCGAAGACAGGTTCTGGCCGCCTAAAGATGCTGGGAAGGAGTGGGCGGTGCGTGGCGGGAAAGAATATACGAGGTCGAGGATCGGAGGGCCAGCGGCCGGTCGGCCAAACTTGGGCGGTCAACGCCAGACCACGGGGAGGGCCTTGGAAGAGATCGCCTCGCACAAAGCGGCCGGCGAGCGCCTGGAATCACTGTGGATGAGGAGCGGGAGGCACCACTGTTAGCTTCCCGAAGGGCATTGCGAGCAGGCGCTGGGGCTGGGGGTGTCCATCGCGGATGGCATTGCTAGTCAGGGTGCGACCGGCCAGCCAGACTGACGCAGCGCAGGGGGCGACAAACGCCAGTAGGCGAGGAGTCGTGAGGAGCGGCGACGGCACGGGGAGCAGTACAATGGGGTGGGATGCGATCGCGTGAAGCAATGGCACCAGGGAGACTCACCAGAGAGCGAAGAAATGGCGATGGTGGGCGTCGAGGGCGGTTTGGGGGTGGACTCGCGGCTGTTCAGGATGGGCCCGTCCTGGCGAAAGCGTCCGAGGCGTCAGTCTGGGTGGTGCTGGGCTGGGCGGGAAGCAGGGACGCAGGAGGATTGCGGGCTGGGCGGGCGTGAGGTCAAGATGGGAGACTGAGGACTCACAAGAGGGGGTTTGGCAGGACTTGATGGGATCTGGACAGGAACAATTCGGAGGTTGTGGGGAGAAGTCGCAGAGAGGAGTTGGGGATGATAGGTTTTGCCTGGTCGAGGCATTCAGGCCAATCGAGGGATGGCGCACCAGCGTGCTCCGCTCTGCTGGCCTGGGTGTCAGGCGCTGTGTGGCTAACTAAGCCAGCCCGCCTTATGCACTGGCACACACCATCTCCAGCAACCTCGCACTGCACACACTGCCAGCCTGCAAATATTGGCATGCTGCATGCGTCTTTGACCGCACATTTTTTCTGGTTTGTTTTGGTTTTTTCTCTTGCAGCCTCGGATAGCAGGCGAGTAGCAGGTACCTATCTACATCAGGTACCTACGTGTATGCATGCGTTGGTGAGCGATTGCGCTGGTTCTCCAGTTGTAATGCTGCTCTCCGTGCGCAAGGCCCTCCTTGCCGTGACTGTTTCTTGCGTGCCTGTGGATTTCTACAACCCAACAGTCTTTTAATCTTGGAGCGACGACATGCCGTGTCTCTGCCCAAGGTTGTAAGTGAAACACCCTTGGATTGGCCTGCTTGACTAGCCCACCGCGGACAAGGAGAAACATGAAATTTCCCTTTACAACGCAGCCTGGAATCCGCATATCAGAAACCCGCGCTGGTCTTTTGTCCTGTCGCGGGCGCAACGAGAGGAGACACCTGTAGATGCAGGCCAAGTTGGGCAGACCGGCAGGCGAGGCGGGCGCATCGAACCGGGTTCATGACACTGTGCGCTACATGTCTGCCTCTCTGCCTCTCTCTCACTCTCTCTCTCTC